GGGAGAGTGGAGGGAGGGGAGGGTGGAAAGGGGGAACTGACTAGAGGTTCTACATGAAGGAGTGGGGGAGTAGGGAGGGAGAGGGAAAAATGAGGAACTGATGCCGGGAGCTTAAGTGGAGAACAAATGTTTTGAGAATGATGAGGGCAATGGATGTACAAATGTGTTTTACACAATTGATGTATGTATGGATTGATGAGTTGTATGAGCCTAAAAAAATCATTAAAAAAAGATGTGAAAACGCATCCACCTCACCAGTTTATAAACCAAAACCAAACTCACGGCCATCAAGTTGATTCCGACTCGTAGCAATCCTATGCAACAAGCTACACCTGTCCCTGTTCATTTCCAAACCTGCAACCCTTTGACTGCAGTAGAAAGCTTCTTCTTTCTCCTGCGCAGCCCCTGGTGGTTTTGAACTGCTGACATAGTGGATCACAGCCCACAGCATAGCCACTATGCCACCAGGCTCCTCACCAGTTTATATGCTCCATTAAAAAATGAATTTCCATAATATGTTCCATAGCTGGGCACTTCTACAGTGAAACACAGGAAAAGACTTGGGCTCTTTTTACAGAGGATGTGTCATGCTCTCCTGACCTCAACATTGTCGGTTCTGTAGAGGCACTCCATTCAAGATGGAGCTGGTACTGATACTGGAGCACTGACCGTGAAGCTGGTGCAGTCCAGCTCACTGACCCTCCCAGTAAGCCTGGAGAGCAGCAGTGACTCCATTTCTCAAAGACAGTGAGACCACACCTGGGTTTGGCACCACGCCTGAGTTCATGATGGACACCAATGTGTGGCGCTCACTTTCCCTCTGTAATGTGCTTTTATTCTAGAAACAGAATGCTGTTCCCAAGGGAACGGCCACCAACGTTCTGCGTGGAACTTCCAGCAGGTGGGAAGAGCACAAAGGGAAGCACCTACGGAAGATGCTGTTCCTCCTGCTCGGCTGTCTGCTGCCCGCCACCTGTGGGGAAAGCTGCTTCCGCTGCTGGCCGGAGCTCCCTGCGCTAGTGGACTATGATCTGCAGGTCCTCTGGGGCACCCCGGGGCCACCGGCGGAGCTCTCCCAAAGTCTCCACACACTCTTCGTGGAGGAGCACGTCACCGGTGGGCCCTGGTATCTTGGTGAGTCCCAGCTAGGCGAGGAAGATGAGGTCTTGGGCTATTGTCTGCTGCTCACCCTGCTGTGTCACCATGTCCTACCCTCAGATCGTGACCACTTGGAAGAAGAAGCAGCCAACTTCTTCAATAACCTAGACCTAGCCATTAAGAGGTTGCGAGATGGTAAGGAAGTGACCCAGGGCTCTGGGATTGAGTTAGCATCGTCTGCCCTCCCAGGCATTTCCTGAGAAACCATAATATTATGCAGGGGGCATGGTAGGGAGGGCAAAGAGTCATGAAGTTGAGGTGGATGCAAGTGTGTCCTTGGGAATCTGCCTGGAAAACGGAGTGTAGAATCCCACTGTGAATAAACCATCGAGTTTATTTCTTCTATGCATTGTGGACAAAGGTTTCTGTTCCTCTTACCTCTCCTAGATAAGCAGCAACTGCTGGAAGAAATTGACAATTACAAGAAGCAGTTTTCTGAGAGATTGAACATGATATCTGAGGCACTGAAGGAAAAGGGTGAGAGGTGGGGCTGGACCTGCCCATGCCTGACCTTCACCTTCCCTGAGGAATACAAGAGTCCAGAGTCAAGTTTGTAATTCCTTTCCTCCCTTGACCCCCACCAGTACTATTCTGGGCCTATCCCAAGGGGACTCTGCTAGCTCATTCCTTCTGCCCTGCCCTTCCATAGATCTCCTTGCTCCTATCCCCACTCTCCCCCAACTCTGGCTACCTCCTCAGCATCTCATTCTCTCTCTCTCACACCCTCCCTAGCAGCCTGCAACAAGTCCTGTGGTGAGTACCAGCCATGGTAGGGGATGACGGTGCCAGCATCCCTCTAAGATGCCTGCCCATCTCTCACAGACCTGCGCCCCCACATGGAAGTCACTAATTGTGTCAACTGCAAGAAACATTTCCTCTCCTGCCAAGACCCCACCCTCTGCCCAGGTAAGTGGCTGCCCCCCATCCCTGGCCTTCTCTACCTCCAGGGCTCTACCTGGCCTGAGCTCGTCTTGACCTCCATGCACACCTGGGCAAAGATGGCACCTCCAGGATCTCAGGGTTTTCACTATCCAGCTTCAGAACTCTAGGGTCATCTGCCTCAAGAACTTCTCCCTAGCGATCCCTTGAGTGCCGAAAGTCTACAAACTTGAAAACGGCCCAAACTCATCTCCACCCACAGTCTGCTCTTCTCCAGGATCCTACTTTGTAAGCATCGCCAATTTCCTAGGACTCTCCATTCCCCATAGTTGGTGTACGAAATCACCAGGTGCTCGGTCTCCCAAAGCACTGGCTACTTGTATGCTGGGTAATTCATTGCAGTGGTGACACGAACATCTCAGGAGACGCTCCTGATTGTGGGGTTCAGTAGGGAAGTTAACAGGGTACAATTTAAGTGAAACAAGCTCGAGATACAGTTGTTCAGTCAGGGCAGTTTCTTCTTTGTCATGCCCACAGCCAAGTCTCTCTGTAGCCCCAGCCTCCTGGCCTAGCCTCTGCCCTGCTCAGGCAATGATACAAAGGTGTGTGTGTGTGTGTGTGTGTGTGTGTGTGTGTGTGTGTGTGTGTCTTTTTTCTAAATCATTTTATTAGGGGCTCATACAACTCTCATCACAATCCATACCTACATGAATTGTGTAAAGCACATTTGTACATTCACTGCCCTCATCATTCTCAAAACATTTGCTCTCCACTTAAGCCCCTGGCATCAGTTCCTCATTTTACCCCTCCCTCCTCACTCCCCCCTCCCTCATGAACCCTTGATAATTTATAAATTATTATTTTGTCATATCTTGCTCTGTCCGACATCTCCGTTCACCCACTTTTCTGCTGTCCGCCCCCCAGGGAGGAGGCTATATGTAGATACAAAGCTCTCTTACAGCCATTAATAAATAACCAAAGGGTGTGCAGCTCCACTTTAACTTTCCACCTGAATGCGTTCAGCTCCAGCCCCGAAGGTCCGCAAACCCAGCTCACCCAACGAATTGCCTCACTCCACAATCCAGGTCCCCACCCCAAAGCACTCAGCTCTCCTTGCTCTGTGGGCTAGGAATCCACTGTCTCATGTTCTGGCTCCTGGTTCTGCTGTTGCTGCTGCTTTGCCACTCTCTGATGCCAAAGCGGTCTCCTGGACCCAGGAGATTCAATGTACAGAAATCGCAGGATCCAAAGGATGCTCCTCTTTTCTGTTTAGAGTAAAATCTTCCATCTTGCTTCTGAGATGGCTCATTTTATACCCAGCAGGATGGCACTCACAATTAACCTTGTTAACAATCACCCACAGTTGAGTCATAAAACCCATTAGTATTTCCCATATTCATATAGACCCATTAGGATAAAGCCCTTTGGTGAGGGTAACAAAGGCTATGGTTAGAAGAACCATATTAAATATTTCACTGCGCAGCACCAGGTTTTACTTCAGATTTTAAAATGTGCGCTGTATTTCATTCCAACTTCCATGGCTCTTCCTCAGGTCTCCTGGCCAGGATTACTCCCACCATGTCTCATCTCCATACCGGTCCATATTTGTTTGCTTGTTTCCCTCTTAGCGATATCTTATGCATCCTAAATGCCACTGGCATCTACTTAGTAGATTATCAGTAAATGTCTGAATCAATGAGTGAATGAAAAAATTTAAAAAAGAAGAATGAGTGTATGACCTTCTCTTTGAACCTAACGTGGCCGGTTGCTCTCCAAACACCTGTCTCACATCTTTGATACCCCTAGATTGGACCTCTGTGACCAACTGGACGTCAACCATAGGGATATTTCTGCTCCTAGGAACCCTAACTGCAGGTGGGTGAGTGATTTCTCCTTGTCCCAGCGCCCCTAAAGGAAGACAAACATACTCCCTGACTGATCCACCTCTACCCTGTCTTCTGACCCAGATTTTACTGGTTCTGGCACAAGACGAGCAATGAGAAGGCAGAAAAGGTACTGGGAAGGGAGACCCCTGCCGGAATCTAGGACTCTTAAGATGGGAAAGTGAGATCTGAATTCTGGGATGCTTGAGGGTGACAAAGCCTGAAAGCCTGAGTGTAATGAATACCAAGGTCACACATCAGGCCTTCTGATGAATCAGATCGTAAATCCCAAATCCTTAGGATCCAGATCCCAGAGTACCAAAGTTCCAGGTCCTTCCCTTATTAACACAGTGCCTTCCCATAGCTGCCATTGCCCACTCCCATTCTACCCTCAGTCCTATGCTTTCTGCTCCCATCCTGCACTGATGGTATCAGCATGGCTCCCGCACCTCTTACTCTGGGCTGGTCCAGGTTATGAAGGATCCTAACTAGAGGCCAGAGGTATTGAAAGAAGCAGGCAGGACAAGTAGAACCTCCTGCTTTGGATCTGCAGGGACGAAAACGACAAAGTGTGACTTTCAAATGAACCAAGTTTGCAGATCTGGTTAGAACCTCTTGCTCATCTTCAGACTCTGGTAACTCTCCCTCCCTGACACCTTCTCATCTCTGGTGGTAATATCTCTGCAACCCTGAAAGATTACATGAGGTCTGTGGTTTCCTCATACCTATGTCTTTGTCAATGGTCCCTTTATTAAAACATCTGAAGACTAATGAGAGTGTGACCCCTGTTTCCTGCTGGGATCTGTGCAGGCATGCCTGTGCCCATCGTGGAGAGCACTGTGGAGTGGGACATGTTCCACCGTCTTACCCTCCAGAGACCTGACCCCTCCCCTTCAGCTAAATCGAGCCTCCTCCATAGCCCCTGCCACTCCCTCCAGACACTTTCCTCTTTCCTTGTGCTGGCCCAGGCAATGGCTAACTCACAAACTCAACTAGTCCCAAGACACTAGACCCAGGAGAGGCACAGGTCCTTCAAGGGCCCAGCACAAGGCTTCCTGTCTTCCAAAACAGAGGAAGAGAGCGGTCAGCTGAAGACCCCAGAAAGAGTCACTCCAACAGCTGTCACGCTTCACCCCCCAGAGACTACGACGAGCACTGCCTTAAATGGCAGCTCCAGCATGGACCCAAGCAAAGGTCCCAGGAAGGGTCCCAACCAGGCACCCAGCCTGGGTTTTTGGAGGCATTCCTGAAGTTCGGTCTTAAACACTGGCAATAGCCAGAGAGAGGTACAGAAGCAAAGGGGTTGAGTCTAATCCTTAAATCTCCCTCCTCCACAACTAGAGGGGGAAGTTCAAGTGCGCCCCAGGAGAGCGCCTACGAGCAAGTTGGTGCGCAGTTCACCTGATCTTCCACAAAGTTGCTGAGAGGCCTGATTCTGACCTGCTCTTCCCACTTTCTCTGCTTCACAAGATGGGAAGGCGTGACAGGACAGAAGTTTCTTCCAGAATGCCTAAAATCACTTCAAGTCCTTATGGGCTGGCCCCAACAGTCCTGAGTGAGCAGTCCAGAAAACAGCAGCTGCTCTAGGTCTGCAGGAGCCTTATGGGCTCCTTGTGAGTTTCAGCAACAGAGTGTTTGGTCTCCCATGGCCCAGATTCTGGGGAAAGGGAAGCTGAGGTGAGCCTTGGGTTTTACAATATCTGCCCTGGACATAGTTCAAACCTCCAGAACCGGGTTGAGAGGGGGGAGAACTGGATTGAGATGATCTCAGTGTGCAAATACAGGTCTTTAAGCAATATCATACGGCCGAGGGGTCAAAGGTTAGAATTTGGGCTTGCCGGGACAGAACATGAGGGATTCTGGGCCCTAAAAGAAGGGAGTTCACAGACATACACAGACATCCATGTCCCATCCTTACTCTCAGGTAGCACAGCTCTAAAGAGAAACGAAACAGCACATACCCGGAACACTATCAGAATTTGAATGCTGAGGAGATACAAATTGGAGTTCCTTTCCCACATAAATTGATGGACCTGGATAAATACCCCCTCCCCACGGAGCACAATGCTATTCTAACACATATGAGGTTACCATGACTAACAGCCAACTCAACAGCAACTGTTGGTGGTGGATTGATTGAGAAAACTATACTAACTGTGAAGTTCAGTGCCTATGTAGTTGTCCGTGAGTAACTAGCAACTTCCAGCCCCATGTGGCTTGTTAGGGTCCAAAGATAAGCCTTTCTCTCTCTCTCTCTCTCTCTCTCTCTCTCTCTCTCTCTCTCTCTCTCTCTCACACACACACACACACACACACACACACACACACGGCTGTGCACCCAGCAGCAAATAGTTAAGCTACAGTTATATTAAAGCATAAAAAATGAAAAGGTCCTTCTCTTGAGGTGAGGAAGACACTTGAAGCATAGATAAGATAGCAGGTCCCCCTTCTGGAGTGGAGAAAGGACCTTATCTAGGGGACACTTCTGGTTTAATAAATGACGCTTTCAAAGGGAAGGGACTTGCCACTCTGCAGGTGGTCAAGCAACTTCTAATTAGTTGCTCTGTTCATCCTTGGGTCTCATGCATCTTTTCTTCCAAATTTACCTCGGCTGCAGCTCAGGATCCGTATGTCAGAGAATGTTCCAGGATTATCTTCCAGTACAGTCTTGTGTCATGATGTTAACCTGGGCCTGGCTTCAAGGTTAAGATGTTTACCAAGCCTGTTCTTAAAAACTTTATTCATTCCCTTAGCAGGTAGAGCCCTCAAAATATGAAACTCAACCTCAAAGCCTCTCAGCCTTGACAAAATTAGAGAGATCTGTTCTCATTCAACATTGCTGATTAAGTAAATGCTATCTTTTCTTTTTCTTCTTCTTTTGTATTTAACAAATTTATTTTCCTACCGTGTAGGAGGCTAGAAGTCCAAATTCAAGGTGCCAGCCCCGGTAAAGGTCCTTGATCCCTTGGCATTCTTCATGTAATATGGCATCCGTCTTTTCCCCCTGCCTTGCTTAATCTGCTCTCTCTCTGCCTCAAAGAAGTTGGCCCTTGAAGGTCACTTTGACAGAGGGTTCTGCATGTCAGCCGGGAGTAAATTGTTAAGGGAGTGGGAGGAGATGTGGACTACTAAGTGGCTGTCCTTGAAAAGTTATGACGAGGTCCCCGGGATGAGGGATACTGACGGGTAAGCCAAGTCAGGAGAGAACAAAGGGAACCGACACATCTAGGGGAGCACACGTGCACGACTGTTGGTAGGAAAAGTGGGAGGAACAAGCTCCAAGTCGGGGTGGGGGAATGACTAGAAATACTTTTTAAAAGCCTAAGTGGGGAGTTGTCCCTGGTAATATGCACCTAATAACTCATGGGCCCGAGTTAATGGGCACATCCTGGAGACCCAGGCCAAGTGCCATAGAACACTGGGGCATTGAATCCTGGATCTTCAAGGGGCACAACCTGCTCCAAAGGCTGCCCCTGAGAGCTCCAATTTGGAAACTCCACTGAGTGAACTAGACTCAACCTCAAACACGTTTGGAAGCTGAAGACTCAAGACTGCAAATTCATGGTGTTTGAAGAAGCAGAAGACAGCTATGCCAAGGTTATTGGACTGTTAGTAGGTGAATAATCATTGACTTACTACATCAATGGGCTCTGTGCTGACAACCAATTCCTACTGTTTGTGTAAATAGCGCCCAGCCACGAAGGATTGATCTGTACAAGTGAATAATGCAGGTGTTGTGATATGGAGTTGGCTTACATTGGCCAAGTATCACTCAACAGTGCTTTAAAAATTAGAACCCAGGGCTAATCAATGACAATATCAATGGAAGATCTTTATGCCCCAGGGAGGTGAGTGATAAGACTTGCTACCAGAATTTAACAAGGAGATTTCTAAAGGGAGCCAAAGGCAGATAAAACATAAATCCAGGAATGACTTTTGGGCTTGCACTAAATCCTAACTCCAATTTAAGAACAATTAGTTCTTACGTCATGGCCCTGCTTAATACTTGCCCTCAGGAAGGGAACACAAAAGATATGGTTGCTATAGCAAAGTGTGGTGACAAAATTAGATGGTGCCCGGCTATCAGATAAATAATGTCTGGGACCCAGGATTGATTAACCTATGGAGACAGCAAATAGGATAAGTGTTGTGGC